TGGTCCAATGGCAGGCCTACCAGGTGCAGATCGTCAAGTAGCTGAAGCCTCCAGACGATATGGCAATAGACAAAAAAAGGTGACGTTGGGTTTCCGTGTCCGTTTCCCTTTCGTTTCAGTGTCATTTTCATATGCAGCTGATGGAAGTCGTGATATAGCAAAGACTTTTTCAGTTTCTGTGTCCATCTATCTGTGTCCATCTTTCTGTGTCCAGTAGTGTTTCTGTGTTCAGTTTCTGTGTCGATATATAGTCTTTATTGAGCACACATGCGCGGTTTGCAAAAGACAAATCATTAGTATAGATGGAAAGCCTTTTTTTGCATACTTCCACGTGTTGCACAAAAATCAAGGTCATACAATGGCACGATACATTCCATCGAATTGACATTCAGGAAAGACGATAATCATGTAGCATAACAAATACCATTTGCAATAAAGCACAGAAGTTACGCCATGAATGAGTTACGTGAGTTCGCTAAGCGAACCCGTGGTGGACAGCAAGCAGCTGCACAATTTGAAGCCAATTATTTTGCATCGCGTAATCACGCATCGGAATTGAGCAAACTGTTACTGGATCGATGGCGCTGGGGTCACATTCCAGCTACTTTTGTACAAGAGGTGGCCCAAGCTGCTGTGCATGATCTGGACAAGGCTTACAATTTAAAAATAAATGCATGGCTGACTCTCGCAAAATTAGGCAGTGCTGGAGAACATACCAACAATGTTCACCGTGATTTGTTGCGAAAATTGCCAAAGGAAAGGTTTGCACTCTGTCAGCACACGGTGCCCTTACAAATTGCTACAACAAAGGGTGTGCCTAGTCGAACTGTTCCTGCGAGATTACCCATGATCATGCCGGAGACCATTTGGTTTTCTCTATGGAAATCCAAACATTTCCACAAATACATTCTGGAAGATGCTCGAACATTACCGTCCTTTTGGAGTGCTTGTGGTCAACATCCGGCTTTGCTCAATCATCCGGTGAAGACCATCCAAAACTACGCAAAGAGAGCGGTTCCTGTGGTTTTGCATGGCGACGGGGCGGCCGTCACCATGCACATAGGATCTAACTCCAAGAGTTGTTTGTTTCTATCATTTCGCAGCTTGGTGGCCACCGCTAGTATCCATTTCTTGATGGCGGCGGTGTGGACAATGGCCTGCAGCAAAGGAAGGTTCAATACGTCAAAAGCCATCTTCCGACGTATCGCACGCTCGTTTGAAGCCTTGATGGACTGTCAAACCACTGGAGGCTTTTTTCCAGTAGTTATCTGGACCACCGGTGATTTGGAATATTTCAGTGATTTTCATCATGTGGCTCGTTGGAATGCATCGCGGCCGTGTTGTCTGTGTTCTGTGCCCAAGGAGGCTTTGCAACACGTGCCGCCGTTTGAGACTTTGGCGTTGCAAGCAGATGATTGGAGTCTACCTAGGAGTCATCCATGTCCATTGTTTCAATCTTTGATGAGTCCGCAAAGTATTGCGCCAGATTATATGCACACCAAACATCTCGGTTGTGACTTGCGTCTGCTTGGAAGCGTGGTGTGGGTGATGATCTTTGAGCTCCCAAGCACAGAAAGTTTGGAGCATCGATTGCAAACACTCTTGCATGAAGCAAAGGTGCCTTGGCTGCAAGCAAGAAACTGGTTACAGCAATGCTGGTTTCTATTTTTATCTTTCGCTTCGTTTCTTTGTCTTAGGCTTTCTGGTCTGCAACTCAAAGTCGCAGCGGCTTGAATAACTTGACATTGGGAATGTTCTGTGACGTGAATGATAAACAGTGCCGGAAGAAGTATCCGAAGCTCAAGGTGAAAGCTGCCGAATCCGTTGCGTGCATAGTGGCTTTCTTACATCTTTGGCAACAGAAGATGGATCATACCAACAAAGCACACGTTTGGATCAAACTCTCTTTGCAAGCTTCAGCGGATATGGATATAATCTTGAAAAGGCACAGTGCAGAATGGAAGTTGACACCCGAGGTACACTCGGATTTCATGACATGTACCAAAACGTATTCTGTTTGTATGGTCGCCTTGCAGAACCATTACTGGAATCAAGAAAATCGAAAACTCTTTTCAAGCTGACACTTTCAAGGGCCACTGGATGCTTCACTCGGCTGAATTGGCGCAGTACATCAACCCACGCTGGACCTGGTGTTATTCGGGAGAATCTTTTATGTCGTCCTGCAAAGTTTTGATGCAAGCGTGCTTGAAAGGTCGTGGAATGTTGAGTTCGTTGCACAAATTCATCGAGCGTTACAATATTGCTTTGTCTATGGACCTTGCAGAGTCTTGGCAGTTGAAGTGAGCAAAACATCGTAGTTTCAGTGTTTCTGTCCTTTTCCGTGTCTGTCTTTCCGTTTCTGTTTGTCTTGCGAGACGAAAACATTGTTTCCATGTTTTTTCTTCCACATTCCCTGCAGCATTTGACAGTCAGTTGATATAGGACAATGGCGATGCAAGAAAGACTTAAGGTCTTGCCCGGCGTGTCTGTTCATGCTTTGCAGAATGCTTTGGACAAGGGCTTCAAGACTATCGGACACAGAAGCCTTTTGGTCTTTTTGCCACTTCTAGAAGGAATGAATTGGAAAACAGCAGCATCCAAGCATGCGGCAGCTTACGTGCAGCTGGAACCACTCCTCAGACCGTTGTTGGAAGTGTGCAAAAATGGTCTTGTACCGGATGCCATGTTGCTATCTGCTTTCTATGCCTATAGCGCAGAGCACAAGTTCGAGTGGAGCCAAGAAGTGAGCGTCCAAGCAACGATCACTTTCTTCTTCATGAAGCTTAGACAAATGGTTGCAAAACTTCGCGACTTGGTGAGTGTGAACGGTGGATGGGAAGTTTTAGCCAAAAAATTGACCCAACAGCAGCACGAGGTGATTGCGCGTCTGTGTCGTTGCTTACAACCTTCGTTTCTGAGTTCAGAGCAGTTGTCAAATCCTTCGGCCAACTCGTGGCAAACGGAAGTCAACAACATGGCCGTCGCCACGCCATCGAACCACCAAGATTCCTCAATCGTGCTGTGGCGAGATCCCGCCGCCAAATCCTCTTTGGATTTTCTGAGCGTTCCTTGGCAGCATCTAGTTTTGGGTCTGCTCTGCTGTCCTTGCAAGAAAATAACACCTTCTCCAGGCAGACGCAGCTGCATTTTGTGCAGACCATGATATCTTCGCAGAAGCAGTCGCTTCCGCCAAGAAAATGGCCGAGAAAGTTCTCATCGCATCCGTTCATACACTGCGGACACCTACTACATCGGAAGCTTCGGAGAAACGCGTGGTGCGTCGCACTGTGACGAATGTATCTCCAAAGCAGTCTAGTTCCAAAGCATGGTGGAAACTCCTCGACAAAGCAAGTAAAGACGAAGCCTTGCAAGCATTCCGTGCATATGGTGAGTCCAAAGGTTTAACCATGACCGCAAAAAAATTTGCGTCACGAGTGTACAAACAACCGGAATTCACTGACGTGCAGACCCGTCGAGCGGCACACAAAGATGCTCGAGAGTACATTGAGTCCATCGCCAAAAAGGCCAAAACAACTTGATTGCAAAGCAACTCAGTTGGAGTCTCTTTTAATTATCATCTAAAGGAAAGCTGGTTTCCCAGCTCAGACGTGAAGTGCATCCAGCTCAGCTGTCTCTGCAGGAAAAAAACGCAACGCAGTTAAGTCAAACATGTCCGTTTCCCGTTTCAAGGTCCATGGAAATTTCCCTTTCAGTTTCGATAATCGTGCCACTGATCCGTGTCCGTTTCTGTTTCCAGTCTCCTTATTCCATGTGGTGTCCTTTTTTCAAACCACACATGTCTGCAGCCATTGAAGCAGCGTTTACTCGAGATGAAGCCTCCCACTTGCATTCCAATCAAACGCCACCAAGGCGGTGGAGCTTCCAATGGTCGACCAGAACGAATACGGTCAACCCCGCTGCAAATCCAGTCGTACTTGTCCAATCACATGAATCTACAACGTATTGAGCGCCACATCCAGTACCTCCTGAGATGCGTAACTTGCCTCATTTGGATTCAAGTTACCATGTGTCAGATTTCAAACATTTGTCTTCCAACGCAATCCGAGGATTCAACGTCAGCACATACTTTGGCTCGTTACCTGATTCTGGTGAAACATCGACGCAAACAACTGATTTGGAGACACTAAATGCACACTGAAATGCACAGCAATACTGCGATTTAAAGTTCGCTTTAATTCAAAGCACTAACTCAAAGGAAAATCTGCACTTTCAGTGTCATGCATTGAGTGAAAAAAAGTTCCGTCATTGGAATCAGACTGGTTTTTTCGTCATCTCGTTTCCGTTTCCAGTGTCCATGTCCTTCTCCGATTTTCACAAATTATCCTGTGTGTCTACTTTTTTTTCCTCAAAGAGGGACAAGGACTAACCTTGCACAAGCTTATCGTGATTTCGTGATAAGCTTTCGAAATAATCTATATAGACTATCATCAAGAAATCATGGATGATAACCTAAAAAGACTATTTTTAATCTAACCGGATCCTAGGGGTGAAGCAGGGGGATAACTTATATGGTTGTGGGTCAAAACCCTGGTACTCATCCATGGTAGCCTAAAATAGTTGGTTCATGGATGATTATTCCCCCAAATATGATGATCATTGTTTTTGACCCATCCCCAGAAGAAATTAAATAATTGAAATTATCTCATGTTGATGCTACGAGACCGACCGCTCCCAACACATATCCAAATGGACGCAACTAAATACTGTCCCCACTGTCCCAAACTGGTTGTCTTTGAGATTTGCACAATGGAACCCAACTTTTGGATCTTCCAGTGATAGCGGGAACGCTGAATCAAAATAGATGTCCCGTCCCATTCTAGTGGTTCGTTAATGGGCAACCCTATTGTGGGTTGTAATGAATATGATATAATGATCCGCAATCAATCAAGTAGCACTCTTATATACCCATGTAATAGGAAATCAACCTGGGGTATGTGTTTAATGGCTAAGATAGCAGCTATGGTCTATGGTCAAGCGGCGCGACCAAGCAATGCCGCCAGCATTCCTTGCAAGTTGGTCGCCAGGGGGAACAGATTGGGCCGATAGCAACGAAGAACGAAGATAGGGAATAAACATGATTCCAAAACAGCATGCGCATGCATAGTCATGTATACGTAGTACATAACTATATATATATAATTAAATATATACACACCCATCGAGTAATTCTGGACTTAAGGCAGCTTGACCACATTTCTTAAAGCTTGGCAGGAATGGAAACCCTGGCAGTAAAAAGAACATAGCCAAACTGCAGAATGGTTGTGACTTGCAAGGCTCAATGCCACAGACCCTACCGGACCCGGCAATGAAACGTGGCTGGAAAGTACCCAAACTATCCCAAACCCGGAGAAAAAAATATAAATGGGGAGATGTTCCTCTGCCATGTTTGTTTGGCTTACCAGAGGTGAAAAAACGGTCCCTGTGCCGCTTCAATCTCCACATTCATGTGTTTAAAAACAATCACTTCCCATGTTTACTCTCTGACTCTGAATATCTGATGTATGTATGCCAAGATTTGGTTGGCTCCCCAACTAATGAGTGATTGCCAGGTCGACGCTCAAGTCCATGTACCGGATAGATAAATAGATAAGATAGAAAGAAAGAAAAAACAATAGATAAATAGATTGATTGATTGATAGATTGATAGGTAGATAGATATTACCGAAAATTACCTTACACTTTCCATGGCAAGAATGAAACTGCAAACTTTTGAACAGAGAAGAATTGGACAAACCCATATCTATGTGAATCTCCTCCGCCTCCGCTTCAGAAACACCCCTAAGGCTGGGACTGATTTCACCCAGGTCCAAAATTATGCGCCTACTCTATCCATGACCCCCCAAGACCCCGAAAGAGAATCATGGGAATAAACCATTGGATTTTTGCTTTCCCAAAAACTCACAGAAACAGCATACCTAGAAATCATGGTTTGCTAGTCATTTCCATGGCCGTGTTCCACAGGTTCCGTCACAAACTGTTAGATTCCGAGAGAAACCTAAGTCGAACTTTAGTCATGGCCAAAAACCATAGTTGACCCAGTTGTTATAAACCGACTTTATCTTGCGATTCCACTTGAAAGTGGATATGCTACCATAGCTACAGGGGCCCCATATCCCAGTTTATGGTGGTTACAACCATGGTACCATGTCCATCTTTTTGGGAGGATTGCGACAGGAACCTGAGATTAAGCCCAACTGTACTTATATAATATTATATCAGCGGCCATTTCAGGAACCTAAATTGGAGGTACCTACCATAAAAAAGGTCTATGTAAGGGCTATGTAAGGGGATCAGGGGATATACCCCCAAAATATGGTCTTATATGGTACAGTACCTCCACTTTAGGATCCTGGAATTCCCATTGATTATATGTATATATATATATAATAGTCACAAACCATTGTTCCCAGTCATGAACCAACATCAACCAACTATACCCAGAAAACCCAGATGACTCATTTCAGGCATGGGTAAATTGTGGATGATCACTACTAATTATGGTTGGTAAAATGAGCCAGGCTCGACGTTCATGGATATCTGTTGGAGTTTACTTACAAGTATGATAGCCACAAACCATAGATAACCATAGTTAACCCAGTTCAAAACCAACATTGTTAATATCAATATTGTCCTTTGTTAAATCCCTATTCATGACAATCACCCCCCCATGACTTCCTATTAAACATTAAACTATTGGTTAAATTCACTTCCCAATTTTGTTGCTTTTGTTTTGCCAGGTTTTGTCACATTTTTGTTGTTTGTTCTCCAGGATTTTACCGTTGGTTATAAATTATTTACGTGTGTCGGCTAACCATTGAAATCCCATTAAACCATAAGAATCATTATTTATCATTTATCACCACAAAATCACCATTTGGAGGTTTTCCAAAATAGGTGTACCCCCAAATCATCCATGTTATTTTGACATTTTCCATTATAAGCCATCCAGCTATTGGGGTACCACCATGACTTAGGAAGCATCCATTTTTGTTGGGAAACCATTGAATTCCTATACTAAACCCTTGGCGAACCCCAATAAAATCATGAAATCCTTCTTAATCATCATAAAATCATCTACTAATCACCATGAAATCCCTATAAATCACCACAAACATTTTATGTTTCACTGTAAAATCAATATTAATCACTATGAAATCAATATAAATCATATTAATGCAATTTTAATCACCATAAAATCGATATAAATCATATTAAATCCCTTCCCTCCAAACCCCACGTTCGCCCACACCCAAATAACCCACACAAACAATATAATATACTTGTCACCAAAGGATGAATGAAAACACTGCCTATACGCAGTGATTGTGACTTAGGTTTTTTAGATTTAGGGTTTTAATCTAGGGTTTTGGTTTTTAGGCTTTTAGGGTTTTAGGTTTTGGAAAGTAAAAAATAACGCTAGCCCTACGCAGGGATTTGAGCATGTCAAAGGATATGCGGGATCCGATGCGGGCAAACGTGGGGTTTGCAGCGAATCCCGTTTAATCACCATAAAATCCTTATAAATCATGTTAAATACCGTATTTAAATACCTATTAATCACCATAAAATCCCTATAAATCATATTGAATCCCTATTAATCACCATAAAATCCTGATGAATCACCAAGAAACATATCCATTTTTGCTCATTTTTGGTTGGAGACCCATCAACGGCCCAGCTGCAAGACCAGAGCCAGTCCGGCATCGAAGTTCTTGGTCCAGGGCAAAACGTAGCCTGGCATCGGGGAGAACCTTAGGATCCTTAGGGTTAAAACATGGAACAAATGGCCCTAAGGTTTAATGGTTCTTAATGGTTCTTAATGGTTCTTAATGGTTCTTAATGGCTCTTAGTAGAATGGGAGAAGACAAATTCATGGTATAATGACGGTATGTCATAGTTTTTAGGTTAATCATTATAGCTTGTATATTGGTATAATGATGTATGATGGTTAATTCATTTGGGACATGAGGGTTTCTTAATGTTTCTTAAACTGGGTGATCTTCAAGTCACCATGTGCTTCAATACTAAAATAGTCTAATGGCTGGATGATTTGGGGGTAACCCCATTTTAGGAAACCTCCCTAATTATAGAGAAATATAGTATGTTTTTTTTTAAGGTTGCCGAAGCACTATTAGCTTAGTAGCATAATGGGATTGATTAAGGTGAATTATAGGTATTTTTCATTGAAGATACTTTTGTGTTGTATCTTTTTTGTCTCTTTTGTGGGTGGTTAATAGGTTCCGTTAACACATTGATCGCAATAAACAAAAAGGAAATACAATATTGTATTGTTTTCATGTCTGACACGATGGCACGCAATAAACATGGGGACTTATTGATTCAGCCATTGAACATCACCAAGATTTACGCCGCTTTCCATGAGAGGGATGGTGGATGGTATCCGAGAACAGTCTCCCAAAAATACGGTGGGATCCACACATATCTTGGCCGTTTTCCATGAGGGTCATCAACCATGCAGCACTTTGAAATGCACAAAAAAACTGCCCCTAATTTGACGCTTTCGGTTCAGAACCGCAGGTGAAGAAGATGATCCGAGTCATCCTTTTTTTCGGATTAATCATCCATGCAAACATTCATATGTATATATATATATGCATATAAATACTATCCTGAATGGCGTGGGCCATGTTTCCTGCCACCATTCATCAGGATGCTTGCCCAGGCACGTTGCACTACCAGGTGCATGTCAGCCTTCATCCTCTGTAGTACTTCAGAAGATGGGCTTCCTGAAGGTCCACAGTTAACCACGCAGACATGTGCGCACGTAAATACGTATGAAGATACTCCGGTCCGGGATGTGTGAATAAATGCATAAAATATAAGTTCATGATCGCCTCCTTCAACACCGGAAGAGGTTCCTTTGTCCAAAACACGTCGCCCCATCTGCAAAGGTCGATCCCTAATATCCCTATTCTCTTTTTTTAAGTCAATTTAAGTTTTAATGGCTGACCTTGAAAACCCAGGAGGACAAAAAACCAACAGCAGAATAGATATTTCTCCATGAACATAGCTGAACTTAGAGCTAGAAATCAACCTGCCAAGATATTCAAGATTTTCTTGGAGATTCCTATCAATTTACTCCGCCAATTTTCTGGGCACTGGCTGCCAAGTGTCCTGCTGCGGTTGGGGAGCAATATGGCTCACAGCAATGGTTCCACAGGCATGGATCCACCAAGCCTAGGTGATCTAGGGGAGTTGCCAAAGTTTGGTGCTGTATGGGTGCTCTGCAAAAGCAGGGAAAAGAAGGATGAGGCCTCCTCGTGGTCTTCCCGGGTGCTGAGCCCTAGAGATCGATTTGAGAGATGGTGCAGGACGAGTAGGGGGCTCCACTACGAAGAAACAAGTTGCAGATTTGGTGAGTGCTTTGGAAGCGAATTTGAATTTGAAGGTGAAGATGAGAATATTTTGTAGAGGAGCGCATGGAGTCGTCTTTGACAGACTTGAGAATAGGCGGGTCTCGAAAATAATTAGATCGCTGTCTGATTGTCGGCTCTCGGAGCTCATTCAGAACTCACCACCTTGACATGGTAGAACTGACAATTTGCAATTTTGTGGTGCCACCCCCGGATTTTGACTTAGAAGGATAAACCCTTTATGGACATTGGATTGTCGCTTTCATTGAGAAGCTGCATGAGAATGTGTTTTTGAGCAAAGAGTGTGGCCCAGTCAAAGACTTGATGGCTACAAAGAATGATTAATATGAGAATATAGTGGCTACCAGTACCACTGCGGGGGTACGTCACTCAAAAGAAATTACTGCTCTGCAAAGACGATCATGATATTTGTTCAGTAACTATCCTATGGACTTACGGAAACTTTGGTAATAGTCCCTTCGTTCCCCTAATATTCAATACCTCCCCTATTGGATCCGTCCACTTCTTTTGGTGCCATATTGGGATATCTATATAATGTTCCGAGGGGTGGAATCTGGTACTCCGTTCACCGTGGGATCCGGCTGCCCGCAGCAGGTTCCTGCTGGAGGCGATCCTGCAATCAACTGGCATCTGATCTACGGGACAATAAAAACAACTGGTTGGTGGTTTCAACCATCTTGAAAAATATGAGTTAACGGGAAGGATTATCCCATATATTATGGAAAATACAAAATGTTCCAAAACACCAACCAAATGATGACCAATGGCATCTGCCATTTTGCAATTTGATGGCTGGTGACTCTAACTGAGCAACATCAAATCACATCAAATCACTAAGACCACTGGGCAGGACCCACGGTTGTTGTGAGATTGTGCGGTAAACCCAATGGTGAGCGATCACCAATATCACCGAACATGGGTGGCATAAACTATAAACATGTATTGACAAATTCGCAGGTCCATATAGCATTGGTTTTACCGTTTTACCACACTAAGTAATTTTCCACATTTCCCGAGGAAATCAACAGACGGATACGCACAGGTATTGCCGGGCAGCAGCGGTGTTTCTTGTGGTGATCTGCTTCGTGCGCAGCTGCATATCCTTGGTGGATGAGAGACAAACCAGCCGAGCAAACATGTACAGTAACAGTTTGAACTACCCCCTGGTAATGACTAACAGTTCGCTATTGAAAATGGCCCAGTCGACATAGTTGATTTTCCCATTAATAGCATGGTGATTTTCCATAGTTTTTTGTATGCTTACCAGAGGGTACCTGCAGAACCCATTGAATGGGGGCCACCATCAGCAAAATCAGGGCGTTTTCAGCTGTGTCAAGCCACATCTGCGAACACATGCTGGTCATTTGAAATTGATATCAGCCCCAGCAAGCGACGCAAACTCAGCTCATCCCAGCTCAACACATTCATGCGGAAAGCAAAAAAAAACACGCAAAAAGACTACTGCATTTCCACTTCCTAAGTCTCCTTGACAAACCTGACAACAAACTGGGACCACCATCTCATGAAGTATCCCATTGTTGAAGGAACAATAACCACGTACTTGAAACCACCCAAACGACCCAAAAAACGTGGCATCATCATTCCAGTTTACTTCTCAATGGGAACAAATGAACCCGCCACCCCAACAAAAAACCGGCTGCGTTTCATGACAAATCTCTTTTCCCCTAGTGAACAAAAACACCTGCTTCACAAACCACCAGCCAGCACCCTTGCATTATTTTTGTTTTTCATCTGGGAAGAGGAAGGGATAGATTTCAACATATTTCAACCTTCCTCGGTGTGGCCCAGTGTCCCAAAAGATCTTCGCGGATGTAGAGCCACAGTTTCCACAACAAACCCACCGAGATGCCCCATGCCTCACAGCAAACCGGGCATTTTTCTGAGACGTCCAGCTGCTCAAACTGATGCCTTTAAGGTCCTTTAAGCATCAAACATAGGGGGTTTAAGATGATGAATTAAACATATCTTGAAATGGGGATAAATCATGATAAAACATGATAAAACTGTATCACATCGAATAAACCGCAACAAAAATCATGAACGATTTGTATCAAACAAGGCTGATGTACCCAGCAACGAAGATCATGGGATTTCAGCCCATCCCCTGGGGAAAAGAGATCTACTGCACCTGGTTATTGAACTTGGATAGTCTAAACTGAAGTATTCTATTCTGAGTTTGAGGCTACAAAATCCATGATTGTTGGCACTTAGACTTAGCCTGATGTTTCATGTGGCGATATGATTGATGATCTGTTTTTCTTCAACAGGTGCCGATGTTCAGGGAGATTTGGGAGGTCCCTTTTCAGGGAGATTACTATCTTGATAATCTGTCATAAATCCCAAACATTCCCAGACGAGATTTGATAAGTGATTTTGGGGATGGATCCCTATATATATACATACAGTTATGCAGTATATATATATTATGTGTATGTGAATCATCTATGAGGCGTGGTCGGCCAGTGATTTCGCTGTAGTCATATCAAGCAAATCAAGCAGAATCATCAATCTGTTGACAACACAAATTTCCCAAAACAGGCCCCCCTGTTAACCCCTAAAATCAGGTAGATCCACTGGATTATCATCAATATATCATCAATCAATATATATATATATATATGTAATCATCTTGATTACCCTCTGGCAATCCAAAAAAAACTGTGTTTTGTTTTGCCCATGGAGTTTGATTTACCCGAAGCTGTGATTTACCATAGCCTAACATGCCTAACAGATTTGCCAGAGAAGCTATCCCAACTCTATATTCCATAAATATGTCACGGGTTTTCCTCAAAAACCCATTGGATTTTCAGATATATTCAGGGTGGATGTCCATGGGCACCTCTGGCTGCGTCTTCTTCTGAGGAAAGGAGGCACAACACTCATGAACCGTTCCTTCCAGTGCTTGCGCGATAAGTTCCTGCGCCGGGCTGGACTGGCTGATGGGAGGATAGCTAAGCTGGTGAAAAAACCTACAAGAACTAACATAACTATGGTTCATCGGAAGGTATAACTATACTATACTATACTTAATGGAATTTACTGTATATCGAAATTAGCAAACAGCTTATAATTGCGATAGAAAATCTATAGATTTAAGATAAGAGGTAAACCTGTCCAACGGATTCTGAAAGTGAGTTGGGCAAAATGAGGCATAATGAGACCCTTAGGGTGAGGATCATGATGAAGATATGGAGGATCTTATTAAGCTCTATTCCAGTATATTGTGCTCTTATCAGCCTGATACTGTAATTTATTATATATATATATACAGTATAATTTGATATAATTTAACATCCTGATGATCTGATCGTATATAATTCTATAACTTTGCCGACCATTTGGATGATGATGATGATGACGACGGCGACGATGACGACTAGAGTGGCAGTGGTGATGATGATGTCAACATAATCAACATACGCTAATTATAATGCCAACAAACGTTGAAGATCATTTAATTAAGATAAGGCCTGAACTTCTCTGGAAGCAAAACGTGGAACTTGCATTCAAACGCAAAAATGTTTGAGCAAATGTAATGCAACTATTAAAACAAAAAACAATATCGATATATCATGAAGAATCATAGAGCCTATTGTTGCTGGACATGTATTAATCACATGTAAAATGATAGATATATGGAGGGTTCTTGAAATGGGGGATCCCAAAGATCCCAGCGAGTCACCGACTGAGTTTACTTTGCGCAATGTCCGAGGGACTGAGTTGATCTCAAAGTGATCGTCAAAGGATTTGTCAAAGGCCTGGTTTGTGCGCACCATGGGTTGGCAATTCTTTGGGGCAACATGGAACGCTAAAAAAATGCTGGAAAATTAACAACAATGGTGCCACAACAACCATAATATGATCCATTATGTGATATATAATCACCATGTAACCATGTAACCATGTAACCATGATATGTCTATGATTAATTAGTGGAGATTCAGTTTTTTTTGACACAGGCAACTATGTGAAATTGATTCAAAAACATGGGATGGTCCCCAAAATGTATGGCAGCGAGCATGGATTTTTTAAGGATTTCCTGATGGTTCAATCCCTGAGGATCCGCTGTTCGCATGGATTATTTAAGCATGCATGGATGGGTATACGCTAATGATTTTTGCATACATTTCCGGCTGTTCATTTTCATAGTTTCTCATTGATTTCCGGGAGGGGGGGAAAAACGATTTTCTTCGGGCATAACCGCTGACCTTATCACGGCTTGTCGGGTTTGTATCGGTTTGTCACGGTCTGTCCCGGCATTTTCCGACAATGCACAAGATTTAAGTATCGTGGAAATGCAATCTCCAATCCTTGCGAGAATGCGCGCGCTATTTTGCGATCATCACAAATGACCTCACGATTTATGTGCATGTCCGATTTGGCCTTATTTATACGGATGGATCCTTATGATTCTTAGGGAATGGATAGACTGAAGGCAACAAAAAAAACATATGTTAGCCAACTATACAATGTGAAGTCAATTGGATTCCACCGAGACTCTCATACTTCGAGATTCAACATCAAGAAACCTACTATAAAACCAGAAAACTTTGGAGAATTGCACAGAAACATGTTGTTTTCTGTGTTTTTTCTTCTGCCTTCAGTACTTCAACGTTTCTCGTTGAGAATGTAAGGATCTGTTAAGAAGATCATCTAGCTTACTTTATGTTGAACTTATGGATCTTTTTGGATCGTTGTCCGCAAACTCTCTCCATGTTTCGCATCCACCAAGCGGCAGGAACGCCCAAGCCATCCTCTAAGACACCAGGTTTCCACCTCGGCCCGGGCGGCCTTGCAAATAGGGCTTGGAAGATTATTTTCCACTCAAGATGACTTACTTTCAATGCAGGCTGTGTGACTTGAATGGACCAATTACTGTATCATTTTTCTTTGACATGATTGTTAATGGTTGTTGATGCGGAAATTGTTTCTCCCTGTGATGTTCTGGGCTTCGTGTGGGGGATTGAACTGCTTGGACTGTTTGGAGGACCATCCCAGTAGGTGGTTGATAGAGGATAATCATGGTTAATAACCCTGGTTAACAAGTCCCCTAAGTGGAGAGCATCCCAATTATAATTAAACCTGTATTATGACCCCACTTACTAACTAACCATCCGCGGGACGATTCCCTAAGTTGCAGGCTTCTATGGAAGCCTTGGAAGCTTTGGTCTGAACCCTTGGTGATGATATCCCCATTGAAGCGCTCCTTTTTGGGACTGGCCTTTTTGCTTGATCGACCAAAAATTGCAATAGCCAGAAACTGCTAGCAGAGGCCCATCACTCATCAACCAGAGTTCCTAGCTGGGTTGACGTCACCCATCAAAATTCATCAAATGGGCTTGTCAGAAAGTGGGATACGCAGCCCAAAATTGCTATTTGAGCAAAGGACAAATCAGTGTCCAAATCAGATCTGATTTGGAGGGGCTGGTTCTCTTCTCAATCCGAAACCGGCAAACATCGGCAAACCAACCCAAATCACCACAGTCGCCCAGGATCTCCAGGGAGGGTCGCTTTTCGACGCTCTTTTTGAAGGGCGGCAGCTTACTCGGCGGCGTTTTTGGCGACTGCGCAGCCATGCGCCGGGCCGGAGGGCAGGTGGACTTGCCCTACCACGTCTCAGTTCGACATTTTCAAAGTTTCAATGGTTCTATGGGACGCCATAATCTTTATTTAATGAATAGCTAGTGGCAGCTATTGATCACTAAAAACAGTTGATACATGATCAATTTATAAAAATATTGTTTAATATGTACAGTCGCAAAGTCTACAATCTATATAGTCTATTTAAGACTATGTGACTATGTGAATGAACAAACGCACCGCTATATGCCAAACATCAATGGCCGATTCAATGAGTGGAACATGCGCATGTTTCTGTCGTACAAGAGGCTGTCAGCTTCCGAACAATGTCGCTCCCAAACTGGCAAACGAACAAAAACGCGCAAGCATTCGGTCTTTTGCCATGGATGTTGGTATAGTGTTTGTTTTTCGTCCGAATTAGTGGGTTTCCACAGCCGATTGGATTCGCAAATGGAGAGATTTGGTCCAGCATTGAAGCCTGTCTCATGTTCTGTCGTGTTCGGTTTTCGGCCAAAAGCTGCAAGATTGATGGCTTCAACCTAAAACAAATCACAAAATTCACTTTCCCGTCATCACCCAAAGAAAACACACAGTTAAACACCAAATGCTATCCTCTGGTAATCTAATATATCGCTATGGAGAATCACCATGTTTAATGGTTCATCATCTAAGAAACATGCCATGTTTCAAAGCTGTTTTAGATTTTTAGATTGTCGGATGCATAGCACGTCACAAATACCTGCATTTTGAGCCGGGAGACATCAGCAGCCATCGACCTCGGCTCATGCAAAAAATCACTGGTGTAACATTGGTGCTAAAGTTGCACTACGTTGCAGGGGTTCTATGAAAATACCATGCGTAATTGAAGTAAGTGTCATTGCTTGTCTATGTTTCATGATGTTTTCTGTTATTCTATTGTACACAGCCATGTACATGATTCAATGTGGTAGTTTTGCATAGTTTTGCCACATGCATCTCCGCTTTAGGCGCCGCTGCCGGGCAAGTTTCCGCTCTTGCAGCTGGTTGAGGACATCCTCATGGCACAAGGAAATCATGTTGAGAGCAACTAGAGACGGCCCAGTTTGGATGGCATTTGTCATATTTGATCATCATCTATTGGTACTTTGGCTGTGTTTGGATACCATCTGTCATCATTTATAGTAATATACAATAGTGATCAATATATTGATTGTACTGGCACCCTCTCTATAAATTTTATGTAACCAGTGGGAAACTGCCATGTATGACGTGGCCAATCTTGAATGTAAGAAATAAGTTGTTAGCTGGTTAGTAAATCTATTTACATCTCATACATCCCGTTACATCCATTTATAGCGAAATATCGACCCAGTGAACCCCCTCTCACTGGTTTGAAGGAGAGTATATCTCCTGGAAGCTTTGATTTTTACCATTTGAATCGTAGGTCGAAGCTGCATGTTCCCGGTTGATCAAGCCTGGGACCCTTGAAAGAATTGAAAGACCAAGCATCTTCTGCGAATTAAAATGGAACAAACGCAGGAAACTGGCTCTTCTTATTGAAATGTTTTTTTTCTCTCGGTCCATTGCACCATCGCGTTCTGACTTGCCAACTGACAACCATCTTATGCAGTCGACAAACAAAAAAACACAAGAGCCTCAGCAATAATTCACTCGTTTACATCTTGCAACCACAAAATAATGGTTATACATATATGTTAATATATACCCACAAAATAATGGTTATACATATATGTTAATATATACATTCATGGCATACATATTGATTGCTGTAAACACATGCGTGTGTGTGTAAGATTGTGTAAGTGTAAATAAATATAAATCTATATATATACAGTATATATACATAGATATCCCCTGTGCTGTATACTGTATCAGTCTCGTGGTTGGCTAGTTAAAGCCTCATCTGTGACCACTTTGAATCCAGTCCTGCCGCAAACGAAGAGCAGTTTGCCTGGTGCCATTTCGGGATTCGTCAACATTTCAATCTGGCTACAGATACCTGACGCGCGTCGATGTGAATTACAGTCACCTCTATGGCGTTCCAAAGCAATAGATATAGGACAATAACTTTCTCGCACTTTTCTGGTTGGTGGTTTCAACCCCTCTGAAAAATATTAGTCAGCTGGGAGTATTATTCCCAATATATGTAAAAATAAAATTCATGTTCCAAACATTTCCAAACCACCAACCAGTTTTGATAGTGAATTCACGTGATGTACTGTGCCTCCTCTAAAGAAGGCACAGTATGGTGCTCTGTTTGTGACCCAGTGGCCCAGTGCATTCTCCCAAACACGAAACCCACCCCCGGGCCCCAACAGATTTGTTGGAAGTTGGCCAGTTGGACCCCTGCGAAACCGATATGCTGACATATTCTGACACATTGGTCTGATGGAAAATGGGGGGGGAGTGGTCAAAAATCTAATTTTTCGTATAGGGAAAATGATGATAAACCACCGGGTTTCGTGCGCCATATTTGCAATCAAACCCTTTTGGTTGCTGATCAAAACCAATATGCTTTGATTTTCACATCAACATGGTTTGATTATGTTTGATTGCATAAAGGCTCAGCCCCAGATATATGGTATCATTCACAGGCCCTGACCCATCCCCAGAATTTCGCATTGCTCCCTTTTGATTTCCAAACGCAATCCTTCGCGTCTGTTCGGGGTCTATTCCACCACAGGTCGCGCCGTCGCGCCAGGTCTATTCCACCACAGGGCCACGGTGGTGATTTGGGGGCACAATCCACCTCATAGACCCCCCACTGTACCAGTCCAGTGGTAGAATCATCCCAGAATTTCCAGGAAATGAGCAACGAGTTCAACGAACCTGAAACATGCGGTGCTAAGAGCCAAGGACTGGATTTATATTTTTGAACCTCCCATTTTGGAGGGTTTATACTCTACACCACCTGTTGCTGGTCATGTTGGGAATGGTTTCCTATTGGGTTTGCCACATTATCATTATAATTACAATATTCAATTTTGATGTTATTTGATATACTATCAGGGTACATCGGTGCATGACCATTTTGTCACATTCTCGTAGCCATGTTTCTGGGGTCGTGAACAGGGGTGAAAAGGAGGTACCAGGCAAGCACAAAGAGAACACAGGATCATCTTGAGGACTGCATGCAGTTTGAGTGGAGCAAGCCTGTTGTTCGCCCGCCTTGAGTGCCATGTCCGCTGCTGATGCAAACGCCGCGGCAGCTGCAGCCCCACCGGCCGCGGCTGATAGGGTTGCTGTGCTGAAGGAAGAGCGCAAAAATTTGAAACGCCAGTTAGCAGCAGCCACCAAAGAACTACAGAACCAGGAGAGTGCATGTAAATGCATGGATACGGTGTCTTTTCGTGAGTGCAGGTGGGACATGTGAACGCTGAACCCATGTTGAAAGACATGTACTCCATAGCCTGCAGGAAAGGAAACGAAGACGTCTTCTACGACAAGCAGGAAAGCTGGATGTGAGTGATTTGACGTGGCTGCTGGCACGTCGCATGCATCCAATGGCAAGCCCGCATGAGTAGAGTCAAGCCGTGCACTATGTGGAAAGCGCCATGCCAAAGACATAGAGCGCTTGGAGTGAGAGCGGCCATGTGAAGGTTCGAAAGCACCATGCCAAAGGCATGGACACTAGGAGGGAAAGCTGGCAACCGCAGACTTGCAAGCGCCATGGTCAAGACATAGAGCGCTTGGAATGAGACCATGTCAAGGCTGAAAATCCCAATGCCAAAGGCATAGCGCGGCAGGAGTGAAAGCTGGAAACCGCAGACTTGCAAGCGCCATGTCGAAGACAAAGCGCTTGGAAGACATGCGCGGTCCAGAGACCCCATTTAGAAGACATCCAGGGATACAACGCTAGATAGACAAGATATCTCCCCAAGAATCTTCCCACACCCCACCTCCAAAACATCACCTCCCCAAGAATCTTCCCACACCCCACCTCCAAAACATCACCTGACCCCCCTGGTATATTATTATAATTCCCAAACGGGGTATGCGGTCCCGCTCCTATAAATTCACAGGTAAAGTGGTCCCGCCGACGGCGGGACCGGTCCCGCCTGCAACCTGGAATCGTGGGAATTCCCACATTTTGCGGTCCCGCCGCGGTCCCGCTGCGGTCCCGCCTATAGTAATTGCGTACTGTCGCGCGCAGCAGCAACAGCAGCTTTAAGACATTACCCCCATGCACATCCTTCCCATTCCATCATTTGCAGCGGCCATGTTCCCACATCACATCTACCTCTTTTCCACCCCTTCTTCCAGCTTCCATTCCTTTTTTTTGCAGTGCTGTCGCAGCATGGCGTCTGTGGATCGCACGTGTGCGAAGCGGCAGCCGGAGAGAACTGCAGTCACGTCGGGTGAAAACATGGGCCGTGAGCGGTTTTGTTTCTGGGGCAGACCGTCTCTGTAGATATTGCTACTCAGACACGTGCCTCTACCAGTCACATTTCTCTAGCGGAAATCATCAGCAGCATTCCTGGGTGTCAACGGTCGACACGCTTTTTCCAGACCTGTGGGCCATATGCACGTCCAGCTGTTTGTGACAATGGAATCCTAGCAGACTATCTGCTCCATGTGCTTTTTTCATGCTCAAGCCTGTGACCTGCATTCTGCTTTAAGGACGTGGTGGTGAGTTCCTTGCTGTTTCTAGTGTCAAGCCCTCTCCAAAGGAAATGGGCCACCTGACAGCAAAGCGGGGTGTCGCAAGCAACTGACGTAGCACATCGCATTGGAGCCTTGCACCCAAGACATGCCATGCAGACAGGATGTTTCCGCATTGCACTTGGGCCGAGCCATGAGATCCTCCACGACACGGAAGCGTGCTGCGTGCGGGTCGTTGCGGGAACTGCTGCAAGCCAACCAGCTCGAGGTGCCGAAATTTCGGGGTGAATTGTCTCGCGCCGACTTTGCAGCGCAACGACAGCGCCTGGAGAACTGCACCTTGTCTCCGAGTGACACTCAGAAGCTGCGAGACATCATTGACCTCTATGAGGTGCCTCACCTGTTTGTCGGGT